AACTATGCTACCCCCTCCTCACGTAACAGCACCGAGCTTACCGCATTCTCGCCCACCGATATGTAGAGCACGAGCTCTTCTCCATGTACTGGTTTAGCTAGCAGGGGCAAGTTTTCCAGCACCTCTTGCAACTCCTCGAAAGCTTTCTGGGCTTCCTCCATCCACTGGAATTTCGAGCTCTTCTTCAACGTCCTTACAGAGGACCACTCTTCTCAGCCACTTTAGAAATGAATCTGCTTAACCCTGCTATTCGACCAGTCAGTATTTGAACCTCCTTCACACTGGCAGGTGGCTTCATCTCGATCACCGCTCTCACCTTCTCACGATTCACCTCTATTCCCCGCTTCGTCACCATGTATCCTAAGAACTTCCCTGCCTTCACACCAAATGAGCACTTGGCTGGATTATGCTTCATGCCATACCTTCTCAGCATTTGGAAAGTCTCCCTTAGGTCGCCCACATGATCCGCCTCTATCATGCTCTTCACCAACATGTCATCGACATATACCTCCATATTTCTTCCCAACTGGTCTTTGAAAATCTGGTCGACCAGCCTTTGGTAAGTGGCCCCGAAATTCTTCAATCCAAATGGCATAACCACATAACAATAGGTGCCTTTGTTTGTTATGAAGCTCACCCTCTTCCAATCTTCCTTTGCCAAGGAGATTTGATGGTATCCCTACGAGGCATTCATTAGGCTGAGCAGTTCGCATCCCGCTGTAGAGTCTACCAGTTGGTCGATCCGTGGCAGTGGGTATAGATCCTTCGAGCAGGCCTTATTCAGATCGCGGAAATCGATGCACATCCTCCATTTCCCTCCTGATTTGGACACCATCACCATGTTAGATAACCATTCTGGGAACTGGATATTCTTGATATGCCCGGCGTTTAACAACTTCTCGACCTCTTGCTCGATTATTCTGTCCATTTCCACGCCGTGATGTCTCCTCTTCTGCTTCACTGGCCTCACACTAAGACCAATATTTAGCATGTGCTCGATCACCCTGGTTTCAATCCCCGTTAATTCTTCCATCATATACGCGAATATGTCCGCGAACTCCCTTATCAAACCGACCAGCCTCGACCTGATCGGCTCTCCCAGATCTTTTCTAATCCTAAACTTTCGATCATCACTCCCCTGCACCATCTGAATCTCCTCGACCTCACCACCAGGCTGTATGTCCATCTTCTCTTTTCCCATGTCCTGCCATCCCTTCTCCACCTTCGACCCCGACCCTCCTGGTCGATCAGGCCTCTCTTCCTTGCCTTTCAATTGCTTTTTTGACATCTGCTTGTTATTGCTGACTGTGGTTTAATAGCAACTCCTCGAGGTGAGCTGGTCCCCAGCAATCTCGCCCACATTTTCACCCACAGGATATCTGATCGTCATGTGGTATGTAGACACGACCGCCTGGAACGCGTTCAGCCCTGTTCGCCCTAAGATGACATTATACGACGACTCTGCACCGACCACTACAAAGCGCACTATCCTTACTTTCCTAGTATCGCCCGACCCCAATGCCACAGTTAGACTTACCTCGCCCATTGGCTACAAGGCCGTCGCTACCGGTTTCAATTCCAAATTCAAATGCTTGTTGATTTGGGCGAAGCAGTCATAGAACATCACATCGACTGAGCTCTCAGTGTCGATGAACACCCTCTTCACATTGAAACCCGCTACTTCTGCCGTGATGACCAGCGCGTCATTATGGGGCAGTAAAACCCCCTCCGCATCTTCTGCCCGAAAGCTGATTACCGGCATTCGACCAGTTATCCCGACCTCCTCCCTCTTACGCTTCATTGCTCGCACATGCCCCTTTAGTGTATTGTTCGAGTTTCCATCCGTGGGCCCTCCTGAAATCATATAAATTGTGCCCCTCTTCGCGGGCACCTCCCCCCTCGGCTCCTCTCGACCATCATCATGTCGCCTCCTCCTCCCCCTTCTAGTATCGTCCTCTCTGTCATCGTCCCTATCACTCCTCGCTACTGAATCCTCCCTACACCTTCTTCTTTCCTTACCTCGTGATCGATCACGGATGACGAACTCTTTTAAGTGTCCCGCCCGTATGAGACGCTCGATTTCGTCTTTCAAGTGCCTACAATCCTCCGTGTTATTTCCATAATCCCTATAGAACCTGCAGTATTTATTTGGCCTGGGTTTGGTTGGTCCCTCGAACCTCGTCACCGGCCACGTGACCTCCTTGCTCTCCAGTTTCTCCTCGATGGCAGCTAAGACTTCGCCCACCTGGGCGTTGATAGGAGTGAAATTGTTATATCTTTGACCATTTGGTAGTCGGGGTCGTCCTTGCCAGCGATCTTCTCGCCCCCCACGGAACGAATTTCGCCCATCTCTTCTGGGCGACAGCTTCTTAGATGAGCCACCTTTTGGAGAATTCTTTCTAGGTGATCCCCTCCTGGGCGAGCTCAGCCTTCCCTTCCCTTGCTCAGATTTCACCACCTTCTCAAGCTTGGCAAACGTAGCCTTCGTTTCTTCCAAATTAATGTACTTCTTGCATCTTTTAAGCACCTCATCGTAAGTTCGAGCAGACGTCTTCGCTAACGACGTTCGACATGGTCCTAGTCGCAGACTCCTGATCAATCCTCCCGCCTTCACCTCGTCGCCCGCTGTGGGCACCCCTAAGCACATCTGATTGTATTGAGCAACATATTTCCGCAGAGACTCTTTATCGCGTTGTCGCATCGCCATCAGAGTGAGATACGTCTTCTCCTGCGCGACCGTACTTGAATATTGATTGGTAAGTTGTCCTGCAAAATCCTCAAAGTCTCTAATCGAACCGGGAGCTAATTGGTGGAACCAGTCGAGCGCGCCTCCTCGTAAGGTCGACAGAAAAGCCCTGCAACTGACCGGATCTGAGTACCTGTGCAAGACGGACATGTTTTCAAATTCCCTCACATGCCTCGACGGATCGCTCGACCCATCGAAAATTAGATTTATCTCCCTGAAACTCGCGGGCAGTGGTGCATCTAGAATTTCCCTCGCGAATGGGTGTCCTCGAGCACGCCTGTCCGGCCTTCCCTCTACTTTCTCTTGCAGCTGCCGGAGCTGCTCAGCCATCCTCTCTATCGCCCTATCTTTGGGCTCTCCTCCTCCGCCATAACTCGACACATCCTCCTCTTGAGCCCCTGGTACCGTGGTCGGTGTGGTAGCAGCCTGGGAGGTCTGGTGAGTGACCTGGTGCACAGCTTGCGCCGCCGCGTTGGCCATCATCCTCTGCATCTCTTCCCTCGTCATGATCACCATTTGTTGAGCAGGGGGTTGCGGTGCTCCTCCTGTTGGTGGCGCCATCGTCTGCACCAATGGTCCAACCTGTTGCGCCAAAACCGGGTCTGCCTGCAACGGCGCGAGGGCCGCCGTCGGTGCTGCTTCCCGAGCTTCGTGCTCTCTGCTCGTGCCTTCTCCCCCACCTGGAATTGCCGCACTCTGAGGCATCGGCGTTGGGGTCATCGGTGTTTGTGACGGCCCAGAGAAACTAGGTGGAGGTCCCGCTCCCATCGGTCTTGTCGTCGTCCACGCTTTATCAAACGACGACTGTAAATTCACTCGAGGAACTCCGTCCGCCATAGCTGAGCTCAAAACACAACTTTTCGAACGAAAGTCCCACAGACGGCGCCAATATTACAAGTCTCGCACCCCGACCGGCTGGAAATTGCCTCAAGCTCGTTCTCTTCGCCGGTTGAACGCGGAACCTGCACGAAACTCCCACACCGGAGGTGTTTTCCGGTGAAGAGCCTCCAACGCTCAAGTCAAATCTTGAGAGATAAAAGGTATGTGTAAATATGTGAGAGTATAAGAAAATTGTATCGAAAAGTGAGGATTCTCATCCCTATTTATAGGGACGAGCTACCTGTTCTACACGCGCGGGTAGGGCGAGTTTGGCCAACCGTCCTCTGCTAATCCGTACGACCGCGCGCCTCCACTATCCTTGACGTCAGGGAACGCATCCATATTGTCAGAGAATGTCAGAGTTCGTTATAGCCATGGGCCACTCATAGGATGCCTCGTGTCCTCCTTTCACGTGCTGGAGATTCTCTTATGCATTCTGTTGCTTGACCAAGTCTGTACGACCACACCCTATCCGTCCATCCTTCCTCGACCAACTCCTCGAGTAGCCGGTGCCTGTCGATCACTTTTTAACCCACTCGTTTCTGCTGTCTACTCTGTCCTTCGTTGCAGGTGCCTGGCCTAGTTCGACCATACCATTTGACCAGTCTTATTTAGCTAACCCGACGAACCAGTCTATTTTCTCTGGTTAGCTCAACAAACCGGTCTAGTATATAATATCCTATATCAGACCAGATATCGGAGAACCTTCGAGACAGGAGATTAATTGCCTCGTGAATCTTAATCAAATCAAAATTTTGGGGAAAGATCGTGAATAGGGAAAAATTTTTGAAAACGAAGAGCAGAATTAGGGTTAAATGAGGAAAAATTATGATGTTGATTTAATCAGATTTGGGATTTTGTATTGAAACATTACGTGAACGGACGATTTTACCCTCGCATGTGCTGCACACATGCTTTCTCCGGTGCAAAATATGGTCGGAATCGTGTATTAGGAGGTAATGTGTTAGTTTCGATGACATCAGGAGGTAATCTGTCAACAAAAAAAAGTTTATAAGGCAAAGTAAAAAAAACGCATACTTTGGAAGGTAAAAAAAAAATTTTCCCTAAAATTTTCCCTATGTTTTTAGTTTTACAACGATGCCCAAATAAAAAAATTTATCCCCACTTTTGTTGCTTATATTTTGACCAAACTTATTCGTAGCCACATGAATGCTGTATGCGTTCTTAAGGCATACACGTTTTGTTCTACGAAAGGTTCTCGTCTTTTAATCCAGAAAAAATAACAATAAAAATATTGTTGAATTAATCGGAATCATTTTATTGAAATATATATATATAATATAGTAAATTGAAATTTTCATTTGGTGTGGTCGAACTCGAGCCGTCGGTGCTCCTCTGTTTCGTAGCCGTGCCGATGTGTGCAGCAGCATTCCCAGTGCCTTGGTGCGTGGGCGCGTCTACCTCGAGAGTCAACCGCAAGTTCAATTCGGCGCGAGCGGCGCTGGTTGAGGCGAAGCCGAGGTCCTTTCCAGCCCTCAACG